GGCGCTCTTAGATTAGGTTGCTTGTGCTGTTCTTGAAGATGCTTGGATGCTAGCTTCAGGATGCTCCCAAACATGTCTCAGATTTCAATGGACCTGCAAATACATTGCAGGACAAGATTCACTAACATCTACGGTTGATGTTCAATATCTCCACAGTTGTGAGAATATCACGTAAGGTAGCTTTCACTTGCATCGCTAACCTCTGGTTTTATTGCACTTAGATGAGTAGATTACTTACCCCATTTTTTTACTTCAATTGAATGTGATATCCAAAACTAAAGCTTCTTCTCTCTCTGTTTTTTTATTTTTTAACCATCCAAAGCAAAAGCCATTAGAAGATGGGTTGAGAACTTGAGATATAATTACGACAAAAGTTCTTGATAATATTATAAAAGTCCATATAATTTTTATTTAAGGTCACAATGTTTAAATGTTTTTAAATAAAGTCATCAATTATATATATATGAGCAGTGCTAGGGGCACTCGCCTTTTGCACTCTCCGGCCAACACCTCCATTTTTATTGGCCACGTTATTTTGATCTACGAGATTGAGTCTCAAAACCTCTGGGGAAAGATTACGTGGCCCAATAAAAGTGGAAGTGTTGGCCGGAGAGTGCAGGAGGGGAGTGGCCCTAGGACTGCTCATAGATATATATTCAAATTAAATCACATTAACTTCTCCTGTTACAAACAACCTATTAGTCTGAATGAAAATAATTTAATTTTTTTAAAATAAAATTTTAAGTTTAAGTATTGTGAATGAAAAAATAAATACCGAGGGAGTTTCACCTCATATGAGACCTGATCTAATTTGATTTCAAATTAATTAGAATCCAATATAATTTCTTAACATCGAAAAGGTAAAAAAAAATAAAAAAAAAAACCTCATCCTGTTAGGGTGTGGATGACTCATTAGTGATCGCTAAGTGATGGTGGGTCGTGCAAATGCCCTTGCAACACAATGAAAAGTATGTTCGGTAAAATTTGTAAATATTTTAATTTTTTTTATTATTTATATTTTATAAATTTAATTTTTTTTAAAAAAATTATATTTTTAATTTTTTAATTTTAAAAAGATTTTAGATAATAAATTTAAAAAACTTTAAATTTTTATTTTTTATAAATTTTTTTACTTAAAACTTATTTACTTTTTATTAATTCATAGTTGTATTATTACTTCTAAATAAGAGTTCTGTTAGTAGTTTTAGTAGTTGTTCATATATATATATATATATATACAAAAAAGTGAAAATTAGGATGTCTTGGCAT